AAATAGATCACACATTTGTCAAATTTGACTTTTGTTGCCATGCTTTTGGTGTTTGACACCTCCGTTTAAGGTCCCTTGGCCGAGTCCACGTCTTGCCTATCGTCCCGAATGGGTATTGCCTAGGCGTTTTTCTAATGGGTTTTTATGGTTTAGGTCTAACATTTAAGTCTTTTAATCCATCTTGAATTAATGCTTTGCCAAGTGTAAAGGAAGGGATCAGTTCAGCTTTCACATATGGCTAGCCAGTTTTGCCCGCACCATTTGTTAAACAGGGATCCCTTTTCCCCATTTCTTGTTTTTGTCAGTTTGTCAAAAGATGCCAGATAGTTGGTAGGATGTGTAGTGATTATTTCTGAGGGCTCTGTTCTGCTTCCATTTGTCTATATCTCTGTTTTCCGGTACGCAGTAGCATGCCCATGTTTGAGTTACTGTAGGCCTTGTAGATAGTTTGAAGGCAGCGTAGCATGAATGCCTCCAGCTTTGTTCTTTTGGCTTTAGGATTGACTTGGCAATGCGGACTCTATATATTGAGTTTCCATAACTTTAGTACTTTTTCTATTCTATAGAACATTGGGTAGCTTGTAATGGCATTGAATCAATTACACATAGAGAGACAAATGGCCAACACAAGATGAAATTCTTCCTATCCATGAGGCATGGAAATGTTCTTCCATTTGTTTGTATTCCTCTTTTATTTCGTTGAGCGGTGGTTTTGGCAGTTCTTCCTGAAAGTTCCTTCACATCCCTTGCAAGTTAATTCCTAGGTAATTTTATTCTCTTTGAGGCAATTGTGGATGGGAAGTTCACTCCATGATTTGGCTCTTGTTTCTCTTCTATTTAGCTGTACAGGAAATGCTTTGGTCGATTTTCTAGCATGTGGATTTTGTATCCTGAGACTTTGCTGAACGCGTTGCTATCAGCTTAAGGAGTTTTGGGCGTGAGACGAGGGGTTTTCTAGATATACAAACATGTCATCTGCAAACAGGCACAATTTAAACCTTCCTCTTTTGTCTAATTGAATACCCTTTATTTCTTTCTCCCTGTCTGATTGGCCTCGGCCAGAAACTTCCAAGACACTATGTTAAATACGGAGTGGTGAGAGAGGGCATCCCTGTCTGGTGCCTGTTTTCAAAGGGAATCGCTTCCAGTTTTGTTAGCATTTGATATTCGGCTGTGGGTTTGTCATAAATAGCTCCTTAATTATTTTGAGCTTGTTATCTTACATTTTTGAGAGTTTTTAGCATGCAGGCTGTTGAATTTTTTCAGGCGGTTCTTCTATCTGATATATATGTGTTTTCGTTTTGGCGCGGTTCTCTTCTCATATGTGGATTATGCTCTTATCTGACTTGCGTGGCGTATGTTCACGCTTCGCACATCCCGGGTAAGCCTGATCATGGTGGATAAGCTTTTTGATTTGTTGCTGAATTCAGTTTGCCAGTATTTTGTTGAGGATTTTTGTGACAAAATGCCATGGTTTTCAGCTCCATCAGGTCCTTTAAGGACCTCTCTGCATTGGTTATTCTAGTTAGCCATTTGTCTAATCTTTTTTCAAGGTTTTTAACTTCTTTCTGATGGGTTCAAACTTCCTCCTTTAGCTCGGAGAAGTTTGATCATCTGAAGTCTTCTCTCAACTCGTCAAAGTTATTCTCTGTCCAGCTTTGTTCCATTGCTGGGGAGGAGCTGCATTCCTTTGGAGGAGGAGAGGCGCTCTGATTTTCAGAATTTTCAGTTTTTCTGCTCTGTTTTTCCCCCATCTTTGTGACTTTATCTACCTTTGGTCTTTGGTGATGGTGACGTATAGATGGGGTTTTGGTGTGGATGTCCTTTCTGTTTGTTAGTTTTCCTTCTAACAGTAAGGACCCTCAGCTGTAGGTCTGTTGGAGTTTGCTGGAGGTCCACCCCAGACCCTGTTTCCCTGGGTATCACCAGCGGAGGCTGCAGAACAGCAAAGATTGCTGAACAGAAAATGTTGCTGCCTGATCGTTCCTCTGGAAGTTTTGTCTCATAGGGGTACCTGGCTGTGTGAAGTGTTAGTCTGCCCCTACTGGGGGGTGCCTCCCAGTTAGGCTACTTGGGGGTGAGGGACCCACTTGAGGAGGCAGTCTGTCCGTTCTCAGATCTCAAACTCTGTGCTGGGAGAACCACTACTCTCTTCAAAGCTGTCAGACGGGGACATTTAAGTTTGCAGAGGTTTCTGCTGCCTTTTATTTGTCTATGCCCTGCCCCCAGAAGTGGAGTCTACAGAGGCAGGCAGGCCTCCTTGAGCTGCGGTGGGCTCCACCCAGTTCGAGCTTCCCGGCCACTTTGTTTACCTACTCAAGCCTCAGCAATGGCGGGTGCTCCTCACCCAGGCTTGCTGCCGCCTTGCAGTTCGATCTCAGACTGCTGTGATAGCAACGAGAGAGGCTCCATGGGCATGGGACCCTCTGAGCCAGGTGCGAGATATTATCTCCTGGTGTGCCATTTGCTAAGACCATTGGAAAAGTGCAGTATTAGGGTGGGGGTGACCCGATTTTCCAGGTGCCATCTATGTCACTGCTTTGCTTGGCTAGAAAAGGGAATTCCCTGACCCCTTGCACTTCCCGGTGCCTCACCCTGCTTCGGCTCACCCTCGGTGGGCTGCACCCACTATGCTGCACCCACTGTCCAACAAGCCCCAGTGAGATGAACCCGGTAGCACAGTTGGAAATGCAGAAATCACCCGTCTTCTGTGTTGCTCACGCTGGGAGCTGTAGACTGGAGCTGTTCCTATTCAGCCATCTTGGAACCGCTTCTCCGGCAGTGGGATTTTCTTCCCTTCCCTGTGTTATAGTGGACATCATTGAATAATTCATAGGCTTCTTCCTAGTTTTCCTTAGTCCTTCTAGCACGCAAGTTAGCAAATGTCTGTGGCACCAATCTCCATGTTCTGATTCTGTGTCCAAATGAGGGTGTACACTGGGAACTGCCTGCTGGCCTGTAGGGAATCATTCTCTTTCCTCTGTTGTCATCCTATCATTGACCTGACTGAGATACCAGAGATCGCCAAACTCTGGGGCTGCAGTTATGGCAGCACTTCTCTCATGTGGGGTTAGTGTCTGATTTAGCAGTAACATTATATCTCTCCATGTCAGATCAAAGGATTGTCCTAACCCTTGTAAAACATCAATATAGCCATCAGGGTTATCTGAGAATTTACCTAGGTCTATTTTAATTTGCTTTAAATCTGAGAGAGAAAAGGGTACATGCACTCTGGCTAGGCCGAATTCTCCTCATCCTACTGCTTGGAGGGGGCATAATCGGGGAATACTGGCACTCTTTAGTTCATAGTTTACCCCTTTGTCTATCTCCTTTGGGACCATTTGGGTTGAAGGGGGGTCCTTATTAGTTGGGGAAGGAGTCGGGGGACACTGGGGTAGGGAGGGCTACCTGACTCTAAGGGCTTCCTGTAGAGCATAAATCACACTTTTTACATAATTGCGAGTTGTCTCTTAATGAAAAGAAAGTTTGTACATATGGCACTTCACTCCATTTGCCTTCTTTTCTACAAAAGAGGTCTAGCTGTAAGATGGTGTTATAATTTATACTTCCCTCAGGAGGCCAGGTTTCTCCCCCTTGAAGAGGATATTGTGGCCAGGTAGTACTGCAGAAGAATATAGTCATTTCTTTCTTAGCATCCGAGGGTCAAATTGGTCCCAATTCTCCAGAATACATCTTAGGGGCATTTTTGCCTTGGGGGGAATGTTTCCCATCTGAAAAATGAACATAGGGATGCCAGCACCCCTAGTCATTTTCCGATGGGCATTAGTCCTAAAGCGTCCTCTATGGTCCTAATGCTTATTCCTTTCCAGAGTGCACAACCACCCATGGACCTCTGCTTATCGGATTAGTTATGCTCACCGATGTAGCTGTCCTGCACCCCTTTTCCGGCCTTTCTTGACCACAAAGAAAGGGGTCCGGGCTGCTGGATTCTAGTGGTCCTTTACCAGCGTGCCGAACATTGCCTTTGTGCTCAGGGGTGAGTCCTAGAGCTGGGCTGGCTTCCGGAGTATTTCATAACAACCCAGCTGCCCCATCAAGATGCATTCCCATAAACAACAGTTCTTATGCAAATTTATTTCAGAGAGGGTATAGGTAACATTTTGAGTCAGGATTGAGATAGTCTTTTTTGATTCTGTAAGTACTTCAAGGCTTGGCTGAGTGCAAAGAGCTCACACATTTGAGGAGACCATCTTTCTCCTCCATCTTTCTCTCTCTCCTCCTTCTCTCTCTCGCCTCCATCTCTCTCTCCTCTCTCTCTCTCTCTCTCCTCCATCTCTCTCTCTCTCCTCTTAGCCATTACAAACTTGGGGCCCTGGCAAGTGTGGTGGGAAACAGGTCCCACATAACTGCCCATGTTGAAAGCTGTATACCTAAATTGGGAGGGACACCAGGGATAAGACTCCCTGGGTTTATCATCTAGAGGCCTAAGGATGCAGCATAGAGCTTCCTCAGATTCCTTTGGAGATACAACTTGCTAGAGGAAATGGAAGTCTGAACCATTAGTACCTAGAAGGCAGGGATCAGAGGAAGTAATTCAGAGGTAAGGAGAATTTTGGGGCTACACTTTCAAGAAAGTCATGGTCAGGATCCAGGAGGTATGGGTCAGAAGGAAAGTTAGGGGCACATGCATGGGCGACTGTAGAGTAGAGAGTTCTAGCTGCAACATGATCTCAACCTGCCAATGCCAGGAGTTTGAGATGACAGATTTCTGCCTCTAGTCAGCCCTCAGCTTCTCCAAGAAAATGGAAAGTAGAAGCTGGCTCCAGGCAGACCAACCAGCCAATAGGTACCCTGTATTTTCCTCCAATTCTAAGTAAGGAAGGATGGAACAGAATAGCAAGCGAAAGTGGTCCAATATTACTCACTGCTTTGGAGGTCCCTTCATGGTCTCCAAATGTTACCGGGAGGTCCTTGCTCCCAGAGCTCCCAAGATGGTGGCGGGCCACTTCCAAGATGGCGGCAGGCTGCTTCCAAGATGGTAGTAAGGCTCGTGTTCTCTGACCTGGGGTTCTTGGCCTCACGGATTCCAAGGAATGGAATCTTGGGCCATGCAGTGAATGTTATAGGTCTATCAGAAGCTGTCAGTCAGTGAAGAGAACCATGGAACCCAGTGACTAATTGTTCAGCTCAATTAGGATGAACCCAGGCACTTAGCCACGCAGGAACAATGGCAAGCCTTTAGCCCAATAGGGAGCAGCAATGGGCAGGTGCCTCGCTGGATCAGGAGCACAGCAGACACCCTGCCGGATTCGGAGGGATGGAAGTCAGCGGCAGGTCTGCAATGGCGGCAAGCAGCAGTGGTGGACAGCGAGGGAAAGCTCAGCTTGAGCTGTAACAAACACAGACCAGAAGAGTGCAGTTGCAAGATTTAATAGAGTGAAAACAGAGCTCCCACACAAAGGGAAGGGAACCAAAGGTGGTTGCCTGGAAATGGATTTTAAATATGAGGTCTGTGTATGAATAGTGCAATATTGAACAGAGCAATTTTTTTTCAGATATAAGAGGTTAATTAAGGAAAGGCTCACAGACAGACCCATAAATGAATGGGAGGAGGACGGAGAAAGGGATGAAGCCCAGAAAGAGTGTGATTTCATGTGAACTCCCAGCATTGGCCTGACTGTCAGGGGAGGGACCTATGGAGTATAAATTATGCCTCAGAGTGTGTCCCTCCTTGTGAAGGGAGCTGGGCTTTTGACTCCTAACCCTGTCAGTCAATGGCCTCAGCCAAGGGGAGTGGGAGGTGGAGTAGCCACAGGCACATAAAACCCCCAGACCCTGCTGCTTTCTATACAGACTGACTGACTCCAACACCAGGTCACAGGTGCCAGCCTTTAACCACAAATCACTTAGTTAAGATTGAGCACAGTGAGCTGGCAAGAGACCCTGGGGGATCTGGATGGCTGCCAATAGTACTGGTCATAGCCTATACCTCCAATACTGCCTGTTCACCACCAGGCACCAGTTGTGGGTCTTTCATTGCATTCTGCCATAAGAGAAAATTAGTATCTTTTGAAAGTTCTGGGTTGGCTTTTCTACAGACATACTTCCTTCCTCCAGTGAGTAGAAGTGGATGTCCCTCTGCAAGACTGAGCAGCCTCACAGTTAAAGATGACCTGGGACATTTGAAAACATGGAGGGCATACTTTTGGCTCTCCTGGACTCTTAGTTGAGGGATTTCCTGAGACAGGCACTGGCAGACAGGTGCAGAGAGTGGATTCCCAGAGGCTAACTTTGGATAGCCAAACATTTCATAGAATTTATCCAGAGATTTCTGAAGTCCATTATCCTCTTCTTTGATCTCTGATTGGCCTTTCACAGAAAGGTGAAATCAAAAGTTCTTGGCTGGGTGCGGTGTCTCATGCCTGTAATCCCAACTCTTTAGGAGGTAAAGATGGGTGGATGATGAGGTCAGGAGATCAAGACCATCCTGGCTAACACGGTGAAACTCTGTCTCTACTAAAAATACAAAAAAATTATCCAGGCAGGCACCTGTAGTCCCAACTACTCGGGAGCCTGAGGCAGGAGAATGGCGTGAACCCGGGAGGTGGAGCTTGCAGTGAGCCGAGATCGCGCTACTGCACTCCAGCCTGGATGACTGAAGAAGACTCTGTCTCAAAAAAAAAAAAAGTTCTCAGTGGTCCCAGAGTCATTTCGTTCAGTATTTAGGCTACTGGTGTCTGGATCCACATCAGAAAAGCAAGGAAAAGAATGGAATTTCACAGAACTAAAAGCCTTGCTGTTGGCCTCTTGGCTGGGTCTCTGCAGGACATAATCCCTCACATACAGGCTTATGGCAGGTCCAAAGTACTGCTCTCCTCTGACAGGGTGCCTGGGGTGGCTTCCTGGCAGCCATAGTCTGCCCTGCAACAGCAAGAGCCCAGAACTTGGAAACAGAGGTGCACCATCTTTGTAAACCAAGGAAAATTTTAAACTGTGACCTAATATTACTGGGACTTGTCTCCCTACCTTATGCCTTACAATCCATTATCCCTACAGACCAAAATAAGCTTTCTAAAATGAAAATGTGATTACTTGACATATACTAATTAACAATATTCATGTTGCAAGGCATAGAAAGCCTAAGTCATGTGGTTTTAAATGTAATAGAAGATAATTTTCTGTCCCAACTGGAGATTTAGGAGTTGAAGAGTTTCAGTTACAGCTTGATACATGAATCTGTTTATAATCTGTCACCAAGCTCCATCTCACAGTTCTGTCTTCTCTGTGTGTCAGTGCTATCTTAAGATTACTCCTGTAGTGATAGCAACATGGCAGCAGCAGTTTCTAAGCATCACATAGTTACTCCAGCAAACACAGTAAAAGAGGACACTTTCTCAGAAGCTCCAGCACATGGAATACTGTGTCTTATTGACCCATCCCTGAACTAATCACTGTGGCCAATGGGATTAGGTTTGCTAAACATCTTAAGCCAAACGTCTTAAGCCAGACGTTGCTAAACGTCTTAATTTGAGGCCAATTCCACACAAACTACATTGGTTGGAAGAAGGGTCAGAATAAAGATAGGAGGAAATAGGTGAGCAAACATCTGAAGTCAGCAGTCCCCAGCCTTTTTGGCACCAGGGACCAGTTTTACGGAAAACAATTTTTCCATGGATGGAGAGGGATAGTTTTGGGATGAAACTGTTCTACCTCAGAACATCAGACATTAGTTAGAATCTTATAAGGAGGTTGTAATCCAGATCCCCCGCATGTGCAGTTCATAATAGGGTTCATGAGAATCTAATGCCACCACTGATCTTAAAGGAGGCAGAACTCAGGAAGTAATGCTTGCTCACCTGCTGCTCACCTCCTGCTGTGCAGCCCAATTCCTAACAGGTCACCAACTGGTACCAGTCTGCCACTCAGAGGTTGGGAACCCCTGTCTGAAGTGATTTAAAATGCTTCATTAATCTCTATTGCTCTTGATATAAAGGCTGCTCTTTCCTCATCAGGGCCTGTACTACCCTGCGTGATATCGTCTCTGTCACCCCTTTGGGCTCATCTTTCTCAGTCATTCTTTCCTGGTGTTCAAACATTTTTTTTTTTTTTTTTTTGACAGAGAGGTGGGGGACCTCATTCTGCCACTCAGGCTACAGTGCAGTGGTGCAATTATAGCTCATTGCAGTCTTGACTTCCTGAGTTCAAGCAATCTTCCCATTTCAGCCTGCCAAAGTATTAGGATTACAGGCATAAGCCACCATGCCCGGCCCTCAAGCATGCTTAATTTAGGTGCTGTGATGGTTAATGTTTTGTGTCAACTTGGCTAGGCCACAGTGCGTAACTGTACGATAAAATGTTATTCTGGATGTTTCCAGGGGGATGTTTTTAGATGAGATTAATATTTAAATCAGTAGATTTTGAGTCAGGCAGTTTGCCCTTCGTAATTTAGATGGGCGTTACCCAGTGAATTGAAGGTCTAAATAGAACAAAAGGCTGACTTCCCCTGAGTTAAAAAGAATCTATCAGCAGATGGCCTTCAGACTTGAACTGCAATGTTGGCTCTTCTTGAGTCTCCAGCCTGACAGCCCACTCTGCAGATTTCAGACTTGCTTGTCTTCATAATCAGGTAAGTCAGTTCCTTAAAATAAGCCTTTTTCTATACATCTACACATCCTATTAGTTCTATTTCTCTGGAGAACCCTGACTAATACAGGTACATTAGCAAAAATGAAGTTAAGTTGTCTATAAATTCTTGAAGTTAGGTAAGAAATCATTCTACAACATCATACTACACAATAATAAGAGATATAGACTTCACACTGTAAGCAATGATGAACCTTTGAAGATCTTATATGGAATAGAGAGTATATAATAAAAACTATGGTTTGGCTATTGAAAAACCAATAACATCTACCTTCCTCTTTACTTCTACTATTAAGGCTAAAATAACCAAAGTACCTAATTTCTCCACTTCCTTTGCAACTAGTCAAAAGTGCTCAAGGAGGGCTTCCCTTTATGGAAAAAGGCAAAGTCTTCTTGAGACTTTTTAATCCTTTTTGTCCTTTTCACCCTCTACCTTCTTCCTGCCTAGAATGTAGAAGCAAGGCCTGGAGGTGAAGCAGTCATCTTGAATTCATGCCACAACTAGCATGAGGGTGAATGTCTATATAGTAAGGATGGCAGAGCAGAAAGACGAAAAGAGACTGGAACCCTGGAAGCAATTTGAAGCCACTGTACCTATCCCCACATTTGTAATGGATGAGACAAATAAACCCCTATTTGTTTAAGCCACTGTAGTACAGTTTTCTGTTATTTACAGAGGAACGCATTATGATATCGATTACATGGTACAAAGATCAAATTTCTCTTCTAGAAGATAAGTTGACCTGAGGAAAAGTCCTGTAACGCACAGAGAGAAGCCAATCAGAAGGCTCCTGCAGGAACCCAGGAAAAAGACAGTGAGGCCTTGAAGGATTTAGTATGAGAAAAAGGTAAATTATCACAATTTTTTGTCAAGTTTGTAAATTTTTCCATAATTCTTATGATTAAAATAATTATATAACCACACACTTACCAAATATTAAATTGAAAATTATTTCCAGATAAAACAAAGTCTACTTGGTCTCAGTTGGATAAACTCAAGAGTAAAACAACAAAACAAAAACCTCGACCATGTTACTGAGACATGAGAATTTCATTTTATTGCTGCTCTGAGAATACGTCTAATTACTCAATCATGCCAATTAAATAGGAAGTTCACCTGCTGACAAACAGCTATCTTGGGATATATCAGAATAAACCATAGAAATAATTGGATTTTCTAATCAATATTAACTTCATATTATACACTTGCCAGTTTCCTTTATATTTAGCAACGACGTTTGTTTCTTATGTTTAGCCTTTCATTTGTGACAACAATCTCATGGTTAAGAAGATAAAGACTGGGAGCAGTGGCTCATGCCTATAATCCCAACACTTTGGGAGGCCGAAGTGGGTGGGTCAACTGAGTCCAGGAGTTCCAGACCAGTCTGGGCAACATGGCGAAAGCCTGTCTCTACAAAAATACAAAAGTTAGCCAGCCATGGTGTTGCACACCTGTAGTCCCAGCTAATTGAGAGACTCAGGCTGTAGGATCACCTGAGCCCAGAGAGGTCAAGGCTGTAGTGAGCCATGATCGTGCCACTGCACTCCAGCCTGGGTGACAAAGTGACACCCTGTCTCTCAAAACCAAAAGAAGATAAAATATTTTTTTTCTTTTTGACCATGAGAGCAGTCATCTCCTTCTGAAGTATTTTTTTATATAAACTCTAATTATCCATTAACAGTATAAACATCCAGAGGGGGTAAAGATGTCTGACTAGATGCAAGTAATATGCACTTCCTCTACAGAGAGGAACGAGAACAGCAAGTAGATGCATTACAAACAGACCATCTAGGAGAGAATGCTAGGATTCACCAGAGAAAAGACAGGAAACACCAAAAGTAAGTAAGGATAGGCTTTGAGGCAGCTTGCCCAGCTGGGGACTGACTGAGAATCGAAAGAGGCCCCTGGACATGGGAAAACAGTAAGGGAGAAAATCCCAGGGCTCCGAAATGGGTTTTTACAATCTTGGCTATGGGAGAAACCCTTGGCCCAGTAGGGCCTTGGGCCCGATATATGAAGCTGCTTAAAAATTGCATGGAGACCTTCTTCCAGAAAGGAAACCCACACAGAATCCCACAGGCATCTAAGCCTAGGGCTGCCTCAGCTAGGTGCCATTTTGACAGGTTAGATACTGGGGATCTACAGATACCGCTGTGGCCACCGCACTGAGCCAGGGAAGGAGAGGGGGGATAGGTGCTCCCACATACCCCTACAAGGGTCCCTACGTCACTGCTGCAGGCTGCTGAGACTGAGATAAGAGCAAGCCATACTCCCCACAACTTCTTGCCTATGCTGCTCGACTGGGAGGCACCCCATCCTCTCTGGTCCCAGGCCCAAGATGCCATTTTCAGAGTTTAACACCAGTCTGTGCCCTCCACTTGGGTTAAGTTCAGGCCAATGGGATTGTAGCCACCACCCAGCCAAGTAGAATCAGGGAAACCAAGCTCACCTACACATATCTAGGACAATATCCACTGCCCTGCAGTGGGCTGCTGTGAGACAAGCAGACCTCAATCCCCATAGCTTTTTGCCTACATTGCCTGCCTGGAAGTGACCTCACCCTTCCCGGTCACAGGCCCAAGGCACCATTTGGAGAGTTTAATGCAGAGTCACACCTTGCTCTTGGCCTGAGTTTGAGTTGACATGGTAGCAGTTGTCACCTGGCCAGGGACAGCCAGAGAAACCAGGCTCTTCAATGCACACCTGGGACAATATCTAAAATCTCCCTGCTATTTAATTCTGTGAGACATAGACTCAAGCAGACCACACTCCCCACAGCTTCTTGCAATGCTGCTCACCTGAGAGGGGGCCCCACCTTCTCTGATCAAAAGCCCAGAGCTGGCACCATTTTGAGAGTTTAACACTGGGTTGTACTTTATCCTTGGGGTAAGTTCAAGGTGATACAGCTGCAGCTGCCACTGAGCCATGGGAGAGACAGGGGAGATCAAGATCTCCTAAGCACATTTAGGAGAATACCCACCACCCTGCTACAGGCAGCTGAGGGACTGGGAACTTGCCTGCTCAACCCATTGCAGCTTTCTGCAACACTAGTATGGACTCCTTGGCTCCCAGTGGATTGTTGCACCACTGCAACCACCATCACCCACATCAAACCAGCTGACCAGGCACCTAAGAACCCGTTTACACACCTAGTCTACTGTTCCCACTACTCGCTGCTAAACAAGCCACCTGGCCTGGAGGTCTAAGAATCAGGACCCACTAACAGCAAAAGCCAGTGTAAGCTGCTCTGGGACCTAAAAACAGGCACACTCACCCCATAGCTGCCACCATTAAGTCCTGAAGACTGGTTTAGTTGGTGTCCAAGTCCCCAGTTGATCTTCACTACAACCTAAACTAATAGCTGTATCCTATGTCACTGAGGAAATCACAGATACCACTGACCCTGTATGCTGCCTAAAAAGTCGCACAGAAATCACATTAGTGCAGGCACCCAAAATCAAAGTCAAAGCATTTTACTCAATCAACAACATATATTTTTTTTCAGGAAATAATTATCTCCTGCAATTTCAAAAAACTTGAAACAAGCAACTGCTACACTACATGCACAGATATCTATGGAAGGATACAGGAAACATAAAAAAGCAGGGACCTATGTCATCACCAAAGGACCACAACAATTGTCCAGCAACAGATCCCAATCAAAAATAATTCCTTGAAATGCCAGATAAGGAATTCAAAATACTTATTTTAAAGAACTTCAATGAGATGCAAGAGAAACCTGAAAAACCTATACAAAGAAATCTGAAAATCAATTCAGAATATGAATAAGAAATTTACCAAGGAGATAGACATCCTTTAAAGAAAAAAAGCAGAGTGCCAGGCACAGTGACTCATGCCTGTAATCCTAGTACTTCAGGAGACAGAGATGGATGGATCACTTGAGCCCAGGAGTTCCAGACCAGCCTGGGCAACATGACAAAACCCTGTGCCTATAAAAAATACAAAAATTAGCTGTGCATGGTGGTGTGTGCCTGTAGTCCCAGCTACTCAGGACACTGAGGTAAGAGAATCACCTGAGCCTCGGGAGTCAAGATCACACCACTGCACTCCAGCCTGGGCATCATTGGAGTGAGACCTTGTCTCAAATTAAAAGAAAAAATAAAGCATAAATACTGGAAGTAAAAAATTCATTGAAGGAAATAGAAAATACATTCAAAAGCTTCAATGATAGACTAGACCAAGCAAAAGAAAGGATCTCAGAACTTGGCTGCAGTGAGCTCGGATCACACCACTGCACTCCAGCCTGGGCAACAAGGCAAGACCCTGTCTCAAAAAAGGAAAAAAAAGACAAAAGTAAGAGGAAAAAGTATAAGAAAGAATGAATAAAGCCTTTAAGACATCTGGGACTACATAAGGAGACTGAACTTATGAATTATCAGTATGCTCAAGGAGGAAGAGAGATCTAAAAGTTTAGAGAACCTATTTAAGGAAATAATTGATGAAAACTTCCCAAGTCTATTAAGAGAGTTACATATCCAGATATAGGAGGCCTAGTGAATGCCCAGCAAATACATTGTAAAAAGAATTTCATGTGGCATATTATATTCAGAATGTATAAAGTGAAAGTGAAAGAAATAATTTTAAAATTAGCATGAGAAAAGTGCCTAGTCATCTATAAAGGATCTCCCATCAGCCTAACAGTGGACTTTTCGGCAGAAATCTTATATGCCTGAAGAGGATGGGATAGCATTTTCAAAATGCTGAAAGAAAAACACTATTAGCCAATAATTTTTTATTCTGCAAGAATATGCTTCATAAATGAAGGAGAAATAAAGTCTCAGAAGAAGAAGCAGGCAAAAAAAAAAAAAGAAGAAGAAGAAATAAAGAAATAAAGTATTTCTCAGATAAGCAAATTCTGAGGGATTCTGTTATCACTACACCAACCCTACCGAAAATACTTAAAGGGGTCTTAAGCATGGAAACAAAAGGTTGATATTTACTATCATGAAAATGCATTGAAAGATCAAACTCACAGTTCTCATAAAACAATCACATAAAGGAGGAAGAAAAAGGAATGAAATGGCAACACAAAAGAATTTCATCAAACCGCAAAGACAAAAGGAGAAAAAGAAAAACCAACAAAGCATTTATAAAAGAACTTGAAAACAGTTAACAATATGACAGGAACAAAGCCTCACATATCGTTATTAATCATGGATGTAAATGAATTAAATGTTACACTTAAAAGACACAGGTTGGCAGAAAGGATTTTTAAAACATGATCCAACAATATGCTCCCTAGAAGAAACTCAGTTACCCATAAAGATACCCATAGATTAAAAGTAAAGTAGTGGAAAAACAAACTCTACACAAATAGAAATGAAAAGCAAACAGGAGTAGCTATACTTACATCAGATAAAACAGGTATTAAATAAAAACCAGTTAAAAAGTGCAAAGAAGGTCATTATATAATGATAAAGGGGTTAATTCAGCAAGAGGATATAACAATCCTTTGTATATTTGCACCCAATATCAGAGCACCCAAATTCACAAAGCAAATATTACTAGACCTAAAGAAAAAGATAGACTGTAATACAATAATAGTGAAATACTCTAACACCCCACTCATAGCACTAGACAGATCATTGAGACAGAAAATTAACAGAGAAACACTGGGGTTAAATTGGACTTTAGACCAAACAGACTTAACAGATATTTACAGAACATTGTACCCAACAACTATAGAATACACAGTATTTTATCAGCACATGGAACATTCTCTAAGATAGACCACAAAACAAATCTCAACAAATTTTAAAAAGTCAGAAGCATATCAAGTATCTTCTCAGACCACAGGGAATAAAGCTAGAAATCAATGCCAAGAGGAACTTCAGAAACCATACAAATACATGGAAATTAAATAGCATATTCCGGAAGGATCACTAGGTCAACAAAGAATTGAAGGTAGAAATTAATTTTTTTAATAAGTGGAAATAGAAATACAATGTACCAAAACCTGTGTAATACAGCAAAAGTAGTGCTAAGAGGGAAGTTTATAGTATTAAATGCCTACATCAAAAAAGTACAAAGATCATAAATTAACAACCTAACGTCACACCTCAAGGACCAGAAAAACAAGAACAAACCAAACCCAAAGTTAGTAGAAGAGAAGAAATAACAAATATCAGAGCAGAACTAAATGAGAGACAAAAGAAAATCAACAAAATGAAAAGTTGGTTCTTTGAAAAGATAAACAAATTGATAAATCATTAGTAGAATCATTAGTAGACTATGCAAGAAAAGAAGAGAGAAGATCCAAATAAATACAATCAGAAATGAGAAAGGAGACATTAAAACTGAAACCAAAGAAATACGAAAGAGACTATTTTGGATAACCATATGCTT